GGGAGTGGGGGGCACTGGTGGGGGTCCGGGGGCCAAGGGGCTGTGGGCGGGGAGCCAAGGGGGCTGTGGGTTGGGAGTGGGGGGCACTGGCGGGGGTTGCCCAGTCCTGCCTGGCTCTAGCCCAATTCTCCATATTCTCTCCCAGCGGCGAACTCGGCCGTTCACAGGCCCCCAAGCCCGGTCTCCATGCCCTGGGATGCCAGGAGCCTGGCCCGTCTGAGCGACTCTGCCCCCAGCCTGGGGGTGCAGCAGGAGGGTGCTATGGCCCATAGTGAGGTTGGGGGCAGAGACCTGTCCTGGAGCTGTCTGCATCCCTCTGGGGGGGGAGGACTGGGCAGCCCCTCCAGCCTGCAGGCAAGGCCACCAGGCTGCTCCCCTCCTTGGCATGACATTTGTGGGTTGGGCCTTGGCTCTTTCACTTCCCCCTGGGGCGGCAGGTTGTCTGGAGCTGTGTGAATTCAGCCAGCTGCTCCCTAGAGCGCCCCTTGCTGGACGAGGCCGGGACTGGAGTGGGGGTGAATAGGAAGGGAAAGGAAGCGCTCTGTGGGGCAGCCCCTGGCTCCTCTGCCTCTCCCACCGGGGCTCTGGGGAGCGGCCGTGGGTCTGCTCGGGTGCAGCAGGAGTCCGCGGGGCGTCTCTGAGACCACCGTGCCTTGCAGGCCACGTGCCAGGCAGGCTCAGAGGACGAGGCTCTGGAAGAGGAGCTGATGGATGGCGACGAGTCCCGCTCCTGGACCCCACAGGAGAAGGCCCTGCACGAAGCCCGGCTCAAAGCCAAGGCCAAGCGGCGCCTGCGGCGCACCTCGTCCCGGGCCTCCACCCGGGAGCCGGCACCCGAGGGGGGGGAGCCCAGCCCCGACCCCAGCAGCCCCAAGGGCAAGACCAACGACAGGAAGTCGCGCATGGGCAAGGGCCGTGGGCTCCCCAAGAAAGGTGAGGTGCAGCTGCCCAGTGCAGCACACCCATGCCCCACGGTGCAGGCTCCCATCCCCCTGATGCCCTCCCTGCATCCCCCTGGGCCCTCCTGCTGCCTTGGGGCACACCCCTGCCCCACGGTGCAGCCTGTGGCCCGCCTGGCCATCACATAGCGCACACCCCTGCAGTCCCTCCTGGCTCACTGCTGCCCCACAGTGCAGCTCCCCAGTCCCCACACCCCACACAGTGCAGCCCGTGCTCCCTCCTGCTGCCCCAAAGACACTGGGATCCTCCCCTCTACCTCCCTCAATCCCCACGCAGTCCCCTGCTCTTCCTGTGCTGGGTGAGAGCCGCTCCTGCCACGTGCTGTGGGTTTGCTGGGCCCCACTGAACTCACTACACTTGTGACACAGTCATGCCCGGGCTGGGAGCCTGTCATGAGCCACTGCTGCTCTGGTGCCCAGCTTTGCCCTGGGCCGGGGGCGCTGAGCAGTGCGCTACCCTTGCCCAGAGGCCCCCGGTCCCTTTTCTGTAGCGGGCGGAGCTGGGTTGGTGCCCGGCTGGGATGCTGTGGCCCATGGGGGTGGCTGAACCACTGTGTCTCCTGCAGGTGGTGCTGGGGGCAAGGGTGTGTGGGGTGCACCTGGCCTGGTGTACGGGTACCAGGAGCCCGATGCGCGGGACCCCAACTACGATGAGTCATCTCAGGTACGTTCCCAAGGGCAGTGCAGTTCCCGGGCCCCTTCCTCCCCCTGGAGCCCAGCGTCACCGAACTCGGACCCCAGCACCCATCCACTGCTGCCCCCGGCCTGTCTGCCTGCCCCCGCTCAGCCATGCCAGCCCCGTCCCTGGAGCCCCATGGACTGGTGCTTGTGTGGGTGGGGCCTGTCCCAGTGGGGGTACCGCTGGCCGTGAGCCCCTCTGCCCCTCTCTACAGGGCGACACAGTCTATGCCACGGTGACGCCGGAGCTGGAGGAGGGGGAGCTGGAGAAGAACGTGCACCCCATGGTGCTGGAGTACTTTGAACACGGGGACACCCTCGAGGTGATGGTGAGTCTGGGGAGTCCCTCTGCCACCCCCCCTCCCCCCAGCGGGCTTCTGGGCTGGGAGGGTTTCAGGGGCCACATCCGTCTGGCTAGGCCCGGGGGGCCCTGCAGTGCCAGGGGAGGGCGCTGGGAGCCGCTGAGGAAG